TTTCTCAAATTACCTAGGTAATCTGTAAACAAACTAGATTATCTGCTCATTATCTATTATGTGCTTTGAAAATAAAAATGGGATCGTTGCTGGATAAGAATAGAATTATTTTCTCCCTTTTACTCAACTTGAAAACTTAGTTTTAAAATTGTTTATTTTATTTAATTATGAACGTTACCGCTAAAGTTTTGAAATAATCAGTTATTCTACAAAATATCTGGCTTTTATGCAGATTAACTAGAGTGATTCTACAGGTTATTTGGTTAATGTGATGATTAACTAAGGTGATTCAATAAAGTGCCAAAAAACTAATTGGTTTCTCAAATTACCTTGATAATCAGCAAATAACCTGTGCTCATTATCTATCTCGGAAGAGTGAAAATGGGATTTTTGACGGAACAACAGCAACTTCTTTTACACACTTAAATTAACACATTGTTATTATTTATTTTTCTCAAACCAAAACAATCAAGTCACTCTAATAAAAGAATCAGCACATTAGTACATAGAATCATTTTAAAACTATAATCAAACGGTTTGCATTATTAAGATAAAAGAATTGAACGGAATGTTGTTCTAAAAACATGCATCATGGGTGGTCATGATTCTAGTCCCCGTCTACTGATACATATTATTTATGGGTCCTTAAAAATTTTTGTTTTGATTAAAATATTGGTTCTAAATTAGTATTTTATAACTTAATTTCAACATTATAAACTTTTGACTGGATATTTAACTTATTGTTTTATAACAATGATTTGCATTTTTTTAAATATTTTATAATTGAATCATAATTTCATTGTATAAAAAATTTAATTATTGCTCAATATTGATTATTAAAAAGTAGTATAAATACTTCACAAAATTTTTTTTAATCTTTCTTACTTGGGCTGTTTAGAGTTGTTGCTTAACAGCAAGTTGATTTAGGAATTTTTTTCCGATGCCTTGATGAAGAATATTGAGAAATGAGTAATCATTTTGATTAAAATGAGCATAATTTAGGTGAACAAAAACCAGTCCCCTTTGATTTATCTGAACAGTAAAACCAACACAAAAGAGATGCCCTGGAAATGTAGGTTTACTAAGAGCATAAGTGGAATAAGGGGAATTTTAAGAGGAATTTACATTAAAAATTTCGATTCAAGAATTGGTCAAACAATTGCTCAAGTGCCGCATTTGTAGATGTGAAAATTATGACTAACCTTACCGGTCAAAATAATGAAGCATAAAGAATTGAAATATTTTACTGGTACTTCAAGTAAATCGTGACGAGAAACACTAAATCATCATTTATCCGAGTTCAGGTTGGAATTTACTAAGAGTATGAGGGGAATTTTAAAAGGAATTTATTTTAAAAATATATATACCGCAAAAATGATAAATAGAATAACATTTAATGCTAAATATTAAAATATAGTTATTTAAATGAGCAATTTTTAACTAACAATTATTTAAAAAAAACACAAAACACACTAGCGCTATTAGTTTTTTTTCAAAAATTACAACTGCTTAGTACTATGCTGATTTATTTAAAACCAACGTATTTCATTACACACTGTTATTTGAACTCACTATTTCACTTAACTTAATTATTTCATTATGCGCTGCTCTTTTTTTTTTTAATGAAGTAGCAATGTTTTATTTAAATGCTTACTCGTGCATTATAAAATAATTTAATGTTATTTTAACACACAATATTGTGTTGTTACTTCAATTTCTTATTTTTTAAGTATTCAATTTTGTTAGAAACTATTAAGTAATTTCAAACTGTAAAACATGTACAAAAGCAGCAAAACTGAATGTGAAACAAAAATTAGAAGCATTACTTACTTTTTGTGACGTGATCGAGTCCAACATCGGACATTATAAACGTTTTGTCCTGGTCACCCAAAACTCGATTCAATATCTTGAGTTCAATTATTTTGAAGTCTTGACTTTGTTTTGGAATTGGTAATCATTTTTTTTCGATCTTAAAAACTGGGAAAATTGTATATATTTTTTCCCTTCTTTAGCTTTTCCTTTAACCAATATAAACTTGAAAAATACGAAGAAGAAAAAGAAAACACACACACAACTCTCACACTGTCTCGTCAACTAAACAAACCCAAGAGAATCATGGGAAACGAAAAGCATTGTGGTTCGTGCATCACGGGAAACCAAAAGCATTGTGACTCGTGCATCATGGGAAAATGAGAATAATTTAGGCTAATCCTAAACCCTTTACTTAAGGGGATCAGATTTACAAATTAGGATTCAATAACAAAGCAGATAAGCTTCTTCTTCATAAAAAAAAAAAAAAAAAATCATGATTTGAGGAAACCCAAATATTTATGAAAAATATTGATTTGTACGTATAATTGCTGTTGTTGTAGTTTATTTACGTTGCAAAAGAGCTGCACAATGGGCTATTGGCGACGGTCTGGGCATCCCTGAGGATGATCCGAAGACATGCATCACAATTTTGATCTTCTGAGGGGATGGCACCCCCGATTCGGTAGTCCGACGACTTGCTCGCGAAGTCGAGCACTTTATGGTAGAACAGTTTAACAAGGACCAATACCGCACACCCTCGGTCCAGTCGTGGACTGATCCAAGTGGTCACTCAACAATGACAGTATTATGCACTTAATGCAGTTACAATGCACTTTGCGTATGCGTTAATTTACTACAGTCAAAAATATCTACTTTCTTTTAAGCCTGAACATCACTTCTTACTCAGTTAAAAGCAAAAAATTATTAAAAATGTTCAGAACTATTTGCTACAGCAAAGCAAGGGCACAATCTTGTGATTTAATATGTCCCGCAGTGGACTGATCGTTAAGACACGGTTCCCCGCAGATCACCGAAGTTAAGCATCACTGGCTGCAGTCAGTGTGCGGGTGGGTGACCCACATGGATCAGTCTGCGTAGGGACCGAGGGTGTGCAGTATTGGTCCTTGTTAAACTGTGCTACCGTAAAGTGCTCGACTTCACGTGCAGGTCGTTGGGCTACCGAAGCGGGGGTGTCATCCCCTCCGCAGAGGATCAAAATTGTGATGGGATGTCTTCGGATCATTCTCCGGGATGTTTCCCAGACCGTCGCCAATAGCCCATTGTGCAGCTCTAGTGCGACGTAAATTAACAACAACAATTGCGATTTAATATACTCCTAGAGTATTTATTATTTTTTTTTTACTTTTTCAAATTCAAAACCTTTTTCTTTCAAAAAAATTATCTTTTTTATTATTAATTATTATATAAATATTACTCGATTGCTTAAATTTTACTTTAATCAGTATTTAATAATGATAAGAAAAGAATTCCCGCAACAGCCCGTTGTTGGCCAGAGTGGTTAAGGTTGCACAGTATCATAACCAACGGCATAATTGGGGAACTGTGATCAGCGTTTAACTTCCTGTTAAATTTTCCAATTATTTAAGCAAAATTATTTCTATTAAGGAATCTCTGCGGAGGATTTGAGTTCAATTTTTAAATGAACTAACGGAAATTTTTATTTTTTGTGATAAATAATTTAAATGTTTATTAAATTTAATTATAAAAATATAAACAAAGGCACATTTTTATATTTCCTCAAAAAAGATTATAAGAATGAATAAACTGAAACAAACTATTTATTGCTTAACTATTGGGTTAATGCATAAGTTCCCGCGTTTTTTTTTTTTTTTTTTTTTTTTTTTTTTTTTTTTTTTTTTTTTTTTTTTTNTTTTTTTTTTTTTTTTTTTTTTATATTTTTTATAAATTTTTTTTGACATAACATCAATTTAATCAATAATGTACTCTCTGTTGTTGTTTACGACTGCCTCCCAACGTTCAACGAGTTTTTCGATGCCTCTTTCATAGAAATCACTCGGAGGCGTCTCAAAAAAGTCGTCCAACCAAGCCTGTAATTCGACGACATTTTGGAAGAATTTACATGGCATAACTGTTAGTAAAACTGTTGGAAAGTTCGAGGTTTCCTTTTTACACATTCGTTTACATCGATCGAAATGTCCGTGGTTTGGGATGCTAAGATTTTTATCGATGCTTAGCTAAAAAATTATTCTGCCCAATATGCATATGCAGGTTGCTCGTAACGTTTTTGAAATTACTGTTTTCAATATTTTACAAGAAATCTTTTGTTGCCTATAACTACACATTATATATATATATATATATATATATACAGGGTGGTCCTGAAATATGTGTCAAAAATGTAAAGGTAGGTAGAGGAGACTTAAATAAGCCTATTTCGTATAGGATTGTGTGTGCGGTGATGACTGCGGCGCATAAAAGCGTTTGCTAGCTGGATTCCCGCAAGGATCTCAAACAGCATGCATCGTTTCACCAATGTGGAGCTTGCCGACGTGCATTTCATGTATGGGTCTGCACAAGGAAATGAATTAGCTGCTCAGAGGATGAACAGGGAGCGGCAGAAATCACCTTGACGCTGTCTACGGCCAGCATTGGATAGGACGGGGTGGTTCAGTTCCCTGGCCACCGCGTTCTCCTGATTTAACCAGCTTGGATTTTTTCTTTTGGGGTCATATTAAAAGCCTGGTGTACGAGAGTCCCATTAAGAAGATCTTGTTGCCCGCTTGTCTGTTGCTGCTTTACATGTGCTCGACATGTCTAACGTCTTTTCTAATGTACGCCGATCCATGCGCCGTGGCTGTGAATCTTGTATCGATGTTGGTGGCTGCTCTTTCGAGTACCTCTTGTAAACTGTTGATAAATTTTTATTTTCTTTTGTCTTTATTTGTCTTTTCAGTTTCCTCTGATTCATACTGCTTTACAAGCTAGTGCTTTAATGTGCCATTACAGCACACACATTCCTATCCGAAATATGCTTATTTATGTCCCCTCTACCTACCTTTACATTTTTGACAGATATTTTAGGACCACCCTGTATATATATATATATATATATGTGCGTGTGTGTGTAAAGAACGTGAAATAAATTCCGTTTGTAAGTTAGCTAACATCGCTGATGTTTTTTTTTAAATATTTGTAAAAACAGATTAGTCTATAGTTTTATTTTGAACAATAACTAATGCAAAACTAATTCGAAAAATTCATTTTCTCAACGTTAATCTGGAACAACTAATTGAAGGATTATAAAGATCGGAAGCTTAAATTGCCTCTTTTAGCTTCTGTCCAAGTATCAGGATATTACCTCGAGTGGTTCTAGTGTTATAAGAAAGATACACAAAGATATTCACAAAGTCTTCATCTTATTCAAAGTCTTCATTATTTTCTTCCTCGAGTGGTTCTAATGTTATAAAGAAAGATACACAAAGTTACCCACAAAGACGAAGTCTTTATTATATTATTTCAGATGAAGACGTGCATATTTTATAATATGAATTTAAAGTTCATTTTCATCCATCAGAATCAAGCCATCAATCAGAATCAATCAGAACACTCACAATCAAAATACAATCACATGTCTTCAGTTATTGAAAAATTAATATTATTTTGGAGCTATTATTTTCTGAAAGTCTTAGTAACAAGTAATTCAGAGTATTTTAAAGGAGCTTAAGTTGGTTTATAACATTTTGACGTAGAGAATTCAAAGTTATAATATGGCGAATGGTATGTTCAGCGGAATGCAACGAAATTCGCAATCTTTTAGAAATATTTTTTTAGTCTAATCTTGATGTAACGCAGTCAAAGTTTTTCTTAATTTTTTTTTGTTTCCTTTCGTTTACGTATAACAGCGATGGTTGTAGTTTTGCTCTGATATTACTGCAATCCCAGAAATAGGAATTCTTTTAAAACAAAAAAGTATCAGTGAGAATTTGGTTCCTTGTTGAAGATCTGGTGCGCTATCTTCTCTATTTGTATAAACTTTCTACTTAAATACTACAGAAATTGTTATGGCTGCAATAAGAGTATTCACTTGCTTTTCTTGAGAAAAATGTATCATTGTATACAGTTTTTCGCCTGCAAAAGAGAAAACGAAAGGGAATTAAGTTTGAAGTTTTGGCAGACAGTAAGCCAAAGAATATAGAAAGAATAAGAAGTCTAGCTTTAGAATACACCACTAACGCGGGGGAACTTCTCGATTCGCTATGCTCTGCCAGAAAAACAACTTAAAGGGCGAGCAACATACTCATATTCAGTAGTAGAGCACAATAGGTAATATGATTCAAGCAGTAACTTGTGCCACTAAGTTAGGAGTAATTTAGATCATTAGGTCGTAGATTATGTCTGATTTAAAAAAGTTTTAGGTACAGGCTATATGAAGAAGATTTATGTTTCTCACCTGTTAGTTATTAAGGTCGTTGGTTATAGTCTGTATGATTAAAGAAGCTTTCCTCACACTCGGTATAGTGCTACATGTTATTCAGGAGAGACTTTTGTTTTTAACCTAATAGTAATTTAGGCCATAATATCTGTACGATTTCGAAACACTTCCTTAAAATCGCTAAAGCGTCACTAGTCTAATAATAATTTAGTCACAGTTTTTTTTAAATTACAGGCTCTTCCAATTTAAAAAAAAATGAAGGGGGGATTGTGTAAATTTATCTAATGGTAATTTAAGTAGCAGATTATGGTCTGAATTATTTGAAAGTTTTCAACTTGGCAGAGCGTTACTAGCTGAGGTAACTCCCAACATGCATTTGTCACTAACAGAGTTATCATTTAGCCCGTAATATCTCTATTGTTTCAAAACACTGGCTTAAACTCGATAGATCGTCGCTAACATAGTAGTAATATAGGTCGAAGCATTTCTTTTTTTTTTTTAAATTGACAAAGAATTACAGGCTTAAAAAACTGAAGAGGATATTTTGTACATTTATCTAATAGTAATTTAGGTAGTAGATTATGATCTGAATTACTTAAAGGTTTTCAACTCGACAGAGCGTTACCGGGTGAGGTAGCTCCCAGCATGCATTTGTCACTAACCTAGTAGTAATTTAGGCCTTAATATCTCTAATGTTTCAAAACATTTCCTTAAACTTGATAGAGCGATACAAGCTGTGGTAGGTCCTCGCATGCATTTGTCACAAACCTAGTAGTAATTGAAATCGTAGTCTAAATCGGTGTTATTAACTTTTTTTTTAAAATTGGGAGAGATTGAAGAGACAGGCTGGGAAGAAGAGGTTTTTGTAACTAATATAATATTAATTTAAGTAGTAGATTATGACCTGAATGTTTCCTTAAACTGGATAGAAACCGTCAAGATGATATCACTAACCTAATAGTAATTTAAGCCAACATACCTGATCTTTAGCACCTGGTGGAACCATTTTTCAACTCACTTATCTATTCACCCTGTAAATATTTTGGGATAAAATATAAAACACTTATACAATGCCATAACTGAATATTTTGAATGTTCGAAGCTTACCATGAGTCCAGGGGCTCCTGGAAATCCATCACTACCTGGGGGACCCTAAAAGTACACAATAAAAAGATTTGATAACTTAATAACTCATTATTTCTAAAAGTAAAATTTAGAAGTTCTATTTTGGTTCAATCTGCACTTCGCTAAACAAATCATTGAGAAAGATCCAATTGAATTAAATAAATATCAAGAAATACCTAGGCACGTAATTTTATTTTTGTTTTGATGAATATTATTCATCAAAAAAATTTGTTGTTGTTGCAGGGTTTCGAAAAGCAATTTGAAAGAATAATGCATGCTTTCGGTTTTCGTAAAATATTTACAAATAATTACAAATATTGCACATCTATAATGAGATATATTTGTTAAGAACGGGAATTCAAATATAAATAAAATCGTATCTAAAGTATAGCAATCACAAGTTGAGTGATCCATCAGGATGGGACTCATGAGACATATTGGTTAAGAACGAGAATTCAAATATAAATAAAATCGTATCTTTTTTAATATTTCCAGTGGCAGGCCAATTTAAGAGAACAAAAAGAATAAAATAACAAGAAAAACAAGGCAGAAAGAGATACTAAATATAATAGAATGCATAGTGACATGCTTAGCCCATACGGACCCTAGCCTCCCAGTAGCGTCCACACACAGTAGTGGAGATGAGCGCAGGACAGACGGAAATATGGGGCAAGTCCATGTCCTCCCCAAGGCGACAGAGCTTGCATTTAGGACAGTCAAAAATGTTTGTACTAAAAAGGTGTTTGGATAGACAGTCATGGCCAGTTACAAGTCTAAATAGAGCGACTGCCTTAAACCTGGGCTGATTTGGGATAGTTAAAATATGGTTGAATCAGGTTTTGTGTATATTGCTTTTACGGAAATTCTCTGAGAGCATGTTCCGGAATTGATTTCGGACCAGCAATTTAAATGAGTGCAGAGAGATGGAGCAACGAGATGTTTGGGCAATAGTTGTTCCTTTCTTGGCCAAGAAATCAGCTTTTTCATTACCCCAAATCCCGCAATGTCCCGGGATCCATTGGAAGACGATTTGCTTGCCTTTTAGTGTCAGGTCTTTCAGACAATCAATACATTTTTGAATGGAGATGGATTGGGGAATCAGTAGAGAGTTATCCATCAGGATGGAGCTCATGAGACATATTGGTTAAGAACGAGAATTCAAATATAAATAAAATCGTATCTAAAGTGTAGCAATCACAAGGTGAGTGATCCATCAAGATGGGGCTCATGAGACATATTTGTTAAGAATAGCTCGTCTTGTGTTTGCCAGATAGTGGTAATGTTTTCCTTTCATCATTATTGTTTTACAAGGGCTGCCGAAGTGAAGAATGAGTACAGATATCATAAGTTGTGTCTCTTGGATTGTATCTCCTCATTTCATGAACAGAAGTTATGAATTCGAAATTTATAGAGCTTGTTTTTACTGGGTCGTTGGCAAATATAATATTGATACGTACCTTAAACTTTAATCATAATTGGAAAACTTCTTTACATAAGCTTTAATCATAACTGGATAACCTTTGACGACATATGTCTGTATTCGGTTTGCCTTCTGAAACTAATTTTTGCATGGCTCTGTCTAATATGTATCTGCACATATTAAACAAAAGGATGAATACACACATTATTCTGCGAACTCTTATTCGACGCAGAGCATTGTTCTGTCACTGAACGCATTCATTGCTGAAACTTTACATTTTTTTTTTGAGATTGTTTATATATAAAATATTTTTTTTGAAGAAATTAATATTAACCGTTTACTCACTTTTATTCCTGGTAGCCCTGGAAATCCAGGATCACCCTATAAAAACAAAAATGCAAAAATAATTTCGATACCGTTTGGTACCTATAAAGTAGGAACATCTCGATCTGAAGCAAGGTGGGCTTTATGTCGCCACTGGAGATCGAATCTCAGTTTTACACAACGACTCAATGCCCTTCAAAGTTCAGTGCCTTTAATATTGAGCCATAGCGGCTATCACTGAGTCATCACATTTTATATTAGAGCGAAAACGTTATCTTTTACCAGAAGTATGCAAAGCCTAATTCATTAAAATACAGGGAAAATGTTATAACTATGCTTAAAATGGAAACTATGCTATGGAAAATTCTATAACTGCCGACTTAATGGGCCAAATATCGGAAATTTTAACGAAATTAGATTTTGAACTAAAAGTGTTCTTTCTTCCTAAGATGATGCCTGTGTTTTTGAACACTAGCTATATTCCTTTTCAGACTATGACTGGACATATTCCGTATATATATATTATGTTCTGTAGAACTCTTTGAGACACCTGACTCGCGTGTCTCAAAGAGTTACTAGTGTTAAAATCTATTTCCGAAACTGGCTTTGAATAAGGACGTGTGGTTAAACTCTTCGGATTGGTGTAGACTTTAATAACGTGTATTTTTTTAATAATATTGCATGCAAGGTGAGCGTATTCATCATTCTTAAAATACATGGTTAAAATCGTTTTCAAAAATGAAAATAATAAAGAATACACACATTGATTGTCAGTAAATATTTAATAAAGAAAAAATAAAAACTTTAAACGAGCTATTAACAAGAAAAATGAGATTATTATCTCTTTAAGAGATTGTGTTTCGAATAAAGTTTTCCTACTAGTTTAAAAATGTCCTTTATCTACAGATGTCAACTGCTCCGGAGACGCCAAAATAACTAAATAAATTGTAAGTAACTACCAAGTAAATTTGACAATTACTTGATTATTATCGCTTGCTTTTGGTTTTTTTTTCATTCGTTTTGTTACAGCTTGTTGTTTCCAACGGAGTAGCATTATATAAGCTAACAAGTTATTTAAAAATAGTGGTAGATAAAAAACTGCTAAATTGAATTTATTAAACCAAGTATCAAAATTGATAAACTACCACGTTAAAATATATATTTGCTGTCCCGAGCAAGTTGGCATCTAAACTTTCATGATGGCGAAATAGTGGTATCATATCTTCTTTTATATTTTGGTTCTGGTTTCATTTGATACAGGTATTTTGAACTTTTTATGATTGGATCACTAAGTAACAAATTAACTTAATATTGCCTAGTATGATTACTATGATTAATAGTCACTATGATAATTAACCACTCATTGCAGATTAATGTTCGATTGTTTCTGGCAAAAAATGAAACATACAACAAAATATTGTTAACATATAATTGTTAATATTTTTTTACGAGCTGTTATGAAATATTTCTAATTACATAAAATTAATAATAATAAATAAATATTGCTTAATATGTAAAATAATGGAAAAACATCATCAAAGAATAACTCACTTTTGGTCCAGGAAATCCATCAAGTCCACGATCACCCTGCAAAGGAATAAATATTTTGTACACCTTTATGTGAGTGTGGATTGCTAAGAAAAAACTAGCTACTTTCGTATTCTCTTTCAGTATTATCCTTTTTCGTTCTCTTTCGTTTATCGTTCTCTTTCAGTATTATCAACAAAAAAATATTTAACTTCCATAACCAAATCAAAATTCTTGATGGTTTCATCAGAAAATTTTGATGGTTTATCTTGGTTTCAGTGAGATTCATAATGGTCTAACATCATTTGATGGTCACCATCATCCAACATTTTCCATTATGTGTTCATGATTTTTGATATGTCAACAAACTTTCATCAACCCATGATTCTAATCTAATACAATGATGGGTAGCCGGCCAGGTGGCCGAGTGGTTAGCGTGCCTGACTGCGAAGTCAATGGCTGCGGGTTCGAATCCCGCTCTGGGCATGGATGTTTGTCTCTCTCTGTGTTGTCTTCTGATGTGTGAATGTATGAATGTGGCCCACCCTATGAACGGGTATTTGTGGCAGTGTGGCGTGGGTAATGCTGCTCGCCTGCTTGACTTTGGTTCACAGGTGCCAACTGGGTAACGATAAATGAGCAACACTTCCGGCATCTTCTAAGGCGAAGAACGAAACTTCAGCGCCTGCCGTTATTAAAAAGAAAAAAAATGATGGGTAACCATAAAAAAATTTATTCTCATGAGCCAGCAATCCATGATGTTTCGTGGTGGTTCCAATCATGCATTTCTATGATATTTTAACACGTTCACTCCGGGGTGATCCACCGGTGGGTCACGCTAGATTTTCTCATCTTGACGGCGCCCTGGAGTAAAAACTGGTAACAAATAAATTTCATTTTTTAGTTTTTTTCCGGGAATAATAAAAATCCATAACTATCAATTGTTTTTAACGGATGCAATTTTTATATTGAATTGCTTCTTCGCCGTGATACAGAGATGCCAACTGCTCCGGACAAGCTAAAATAATTTAAAAAACGATGAATAAATACAATTAAAATGTGAAAATATTTGACGAATTTTTCTTACTTTTTAAAAGGATTAGCATGAATTAATTACAGCCAAGTGGCGAATTATATAAGTCTTTGAATTATTTTGAAATAGTGGTGGATAAAAATCTACTAAATTGAATTTATTAAACCAAAAATCACAATTAATAAACTACCATTCGAAAATATTAATTCTCTGTCCGGAGCAAGTTGGCATCTCTGGTGATATATTTCCTTACAGTGAATTGTTATTGTTGAGAATAGATTAACTCCTCCCGAATATTTTCCAATATTGAAATAGTTTTTCTACCAGTATTTTCTCTTTTCCCGTGCCAGTATTCTCACTTTTCCCGGCGTGAACGTGTTAATTGGAAATCTTGTTGGTTCTCAGAAATATACCATCAAAACAATTTTTTTTATGTTGAACCATCATAAATCAGTCCAAATTCCTACATCGGGATGGTGATTGTTTCAACATCTGATTTCTAAGAAACTATGATGGAAATTTCTGGTGGTTTAGCATGTAAAAACCATCACAATCATCATAAATCAGTTCGAATTACTACATTGCGGTGATGGTTACTTTTATTGGGAACTGTCAAAAAATATAATGGCTCATGATGGAATAAACTGATGGTTACCATAAAAAGTATGTTGGTCCATAAATGGAAAACCATCAAAAATTTTGACTTGGGTTTAGAAAGGGTACTTTCGTGGTATTTTTATGCCTCTTATGGCACACTTTTCCGTGAATTTGATGTCAAATATTTATTTATTTATTTTTATTTTAAAGAAAAAAAACATAAAAAAAATTTCCAGTTTAAAATGGTGAGCAAAGGGGAAAAAAGTACATCATTGCAGGAATAAAACATTTAAACATGATTTTAAAAAAAAAGAAACAGTAAGAGACACATTGAAAATATCAAAATCATTAGCTATTTCGTTAAAAAAGTTTGAGCAGCCATACTGATTTTGAATTATGATTTATCGTAGCGAAAGTATTCCTATTTCCTGAGTTCATCGTTAATCATGAATCCTATTGTATTGCGTAGTATACAATATTAAGAAAAATAAGAAATGTCGAATTTTTTCTTAGTATACAATATTTCTTGCGTGGTATACAATACAATTAAGAAAAATAAGATTCGTCGAATTTCTTACTTTCCGTCCTGGAACTCCTGGTGGTCCATCATCGCCCTTTAATGGTAAAAAATAAATATAAAAAATTTCTCTGCTTTGTCACACAAAAAAAATACAAATTTAATATTTAAACACAATACTGGGGGAAAATAGTGTTTTTTTGCTGCATAAGATTTTTGGATGGATATTAAATATTTTCATGCCACTGATTTCAAATTTGCAATCGGTTTCTCTTTATAAGCTTCAGGTTCTGTGCAATTTAATAATGCATTCCTAACCAGGGTTATTTTTAAATTAAAAATTCCAGTGAATACTAAGTATTCCCACTTTTCTGCCACGTAAGAAGTGGTAGGTAAAAGGCGATAATACAAATGAAGATATGATGTGATACGTTAAGGCCGTCTGTTTTGCTGTCTAAGTTTTATTTTCAAAGGAATAGAGAAGTGTATATACCTGTATATAAACGCACACGTTCTTTATAAACTTCTTTATTTAAAAAATAAACTAAACTAAAAACGTCATTTGAAAAAGATCTTCTCGAGCGCCTAAACAGTTTTTTTCCATCGTTATTTTCGTTTCACTCTTCAGTTTTTATAGCTTTGTTTCGCACCTTTATTTTCCATTAGCAACTTCACGTTTTATATTTTAAATTAATAAATTTTTTTTCACATTCACTTCTGACATACCTTGAAAACGGGCATCTATATTTGAGCACCTGAAACAAGTCGTCGATATTATATAAATATAGAATATTTATTCATCAGGTATTATATTATTTTATTTTATTTTATAACCGTCGTTGAACAGCCGACCCAATTTCATGGGTTTACGACTACTTACGTTCAACTCCGTAGCCTTGTAATTTTGAACCAATCCAGAAGACAAGGAAACTCCTGGATCAGTACCCCCAGAGGTATTGATTTGTTGTGGGAACATGGAGGACTTTGAGACTCGACAGATTTAACGTGCATCAGTCACCATTTACTACACGGGGAGTCTTCGGCCGGCGAGGATCGAACCCACGACCTCTTGGATATGGGCCCAGCGCCCTACCGACCAGGCTATCCCGGCCCCAGGCATTATATTAGTCCGGACAGGTATTATATTAGTACATTATAATAGTTAGACCAAATTATCAGACGCACTGTAGTGTCTTTATAATTACATGTTTTGCACGGGTAATCACATGTTTCGCACATGTCCATTTGCAATATTTTTATATTTAAAAATACATGCAATGGGTTTTCATTCAGGAGATTTTTTATACGCTTTCTATTTGTATTTATTTTTAACGTATTACATTGCAATGTAAACCAATTGATACACGAACGTGAACAAGTGCAAACCTGGTTTCAGTCGCGTTAAAACAACATAGAATTCCCAACATATTTTACATAAAATCTTATAGTGCGTCTAATAATTTATATACACTATCTAGCCATTAATGACCAGACACTGTGAGCTTCGGCGGTAGAGGAATTATGGTGTGGTCCTGTTTCTCGTGGTTTGGCCTTGGACCCTTGGTGTTAGTGCGTAGAACCCTGAACGCAGAAGGATATAGAGACATCCTGAACAATTCGGCGCTTCCCATCCTGTGGCAACAGTTCGTTAATGGCCCGTTTGTGTTTCAACACGATAACGCTGCCATTCATAAAGCACATGCCATCACGTACTGGTTTGATGAAATGGGGGTGCAAGAGCTTGACTGGCCATCCCAAAGTCCCGACATCAATCCAAATGAGCAACTCTGGGATGAGTTGGAGAGCCGGTTGAGGGCCAGACCACAACGCCCCAAAACCACCACTCAACTCTTCGCCATTTTACAGAAGGAATGGCGGGCAATACCTGCCGCCGTGTACCAGCACCTAGTGGATAGCCTTTCTAGAAGGGTTAAAGCTGTGATTCGGGCGCGTGGAGGCCCTACGCCCTACTGACTTGATACTAGCACCTCATGTATCCGAAATGAGGGTTGTCCGGTCATTAATGGCCAGATAGTGTATATNGATTTTCCGAGTAACCTCTCGAGACCAACGGCTTATTATTAAGACATCCGAGTCTTTTACGTGTTTTAATTTTTTAAAAAAAGAGCAGCAATAATAAAATTTAGTTTATTGTACTTAGGTATATTATGAGCGGGAGGGGAAATTTAATAATGGAAGTGATCGAAAAAGAAAATGTAACAAATTTGTTAACAACAAAAAAAAATTATTACTAGAGGGTTGCTTTAAAGTTAATTAATATATTTCACAGAATATTTGGGATACTTGTCCCCCCGTACGAAGAACGGGTATTCATCTAGTATATAATAATATATTAGGGTATACAATTCATTTAGTATATAATAATATATTCATTTCTATTTCCTCACTCTCAATCCTGGATATCCTGGAAGTCCTGGGAATCCGCGTTCACCCTGCAAAGATAATGAATACAATTAGAAGATTTATATTTCTTGAATTACTGTTTTTAAAGGATCTTTTTTTTAAAATTTATCTTTCAATAGTTTTATAAGTCTTCAGACATTAATGTTTTCAAATGAATCAAAAAACTTTGTCCTTTTATCCTAGTCACGTCATACCACATCATCATAATAAAACGAATTGCATATTTGAGATACCATACGAACTCAAACACATCGAAATTTCTCAACGCCCAGCCGTACTTGTCAATAAGAAGACATGCCAACCTTGGCATACATGCCTACCCGGAAGTTATAGAAGTTCGCAAAACTGAATAAACTGATATAACAAATAAAGTAAGGTTAGTTTATTTAATGCTGTATGCATTTCAAATCTTCCCATCATTAGACTTTATATATTTGTTTAAAATGACAGAATAAAGAGTAGTATTTATCATTATAAATTGAATTTATTAAATTAAAAAGTAAATGAAGTATAACCACTGAAGTAAATACCAGTTTTAGTTTTAAGCCTTTGTATAATAATAATAATTGAGAGAGTTTGCGTAAGGTTATAATCTATTTTGATCTACAATCACACATTTATTAAGCCAGACACAGAGTATAAACTTGCCCAAAGCTTCTGCTACTTCTCTTGTATCTCTTGCTAACGACAGTACTACAGGAGCCTAAAGGCACTACGTCATGATGAAGGAGTGGAGTGTCCGCTTCGCGGACAGGTGCTCCTTATATAACCTCAGTTTAAGTCTAAGCGTAAGGTTATGCTTCTTCCTTACTCTAATAATAACGCTATTTCAACTTCAAAGTGCAAGTGCAAAAATTTCACTGTAATTCATTGTGTCCCTAGGGGTTGAAAAGAATTTAGCATTAGGGTTAATGTAAGACAAACACTATCAAAAACGCAACAAGGGAAGAGAAAACTTAGAAAAAAAGATGAATGTACATTGCAGTTAAATTCTTATAAAATAAATGGCTAAACAATACTTTTATGAGTAAAACATTCCCGTTAATGAACTTTGTGGACTACTGGGATCATGAAGGTTAAGCTACACAATTAGATGACCAATGCCGTGACGTTGGCAATGAGGTCACATATTGTACAATGGTCACCTTTACTTCCCGAGCAAGCTGGTACCAATGGATCTGAACCAATCGTAGAGGCTTGCACCACTGGTCTCCTTTACTTCTCATGCAAGCTGGCGTCAATGGATCGGAACTAATCGTCCAGATTGGTACCCTTGGTCACCTTTATTTCTTAGACAAGCTAGTATCAATCAACATGAACCAATCGTCCAGGCTGATACCACTGGCCACCTTTACTTTCCGGACAAGCTGGTAATAATCGATCTGAACCAATCGTCCAGGCTGGTACCATTTTCACCTTTACTTTCTAGAGAAACTGGTACTAATCGATCTGAACCAATCATCCAGGCTGGTACCATTTTCTCCTTTACTTTCTAGAGAAACTGGTACTAATCGATCTGAAGCTAGATTTGTTTTAAGGCAGTTATGGAATTTGAACTTCAGATCTTTACACTGACAGTTCATTGTCTTTGCACAGAGTCATCAATATTTCAATGCTTTTATTACTTTAATACTAATGACAAATAAAGAAACGTGGAACTTTATCTAAGAAAATTTGATCATTCGGGCCAATAAGAATGCACTGATAAGAATTGGAAGTGATTTTATGGCATTGCATAGTTTATTCATTATTTGTATGTTATATAGCAGCATAAAAAAAAGTTACACCATGAATAATCGTTTTCAAATATAACTAATATCAATTCAGTTACAAATAGCCATAAATAAATATTTTATAATCTACAATATTATGAAAAAAAAGCATTGTTTTTCTTACTTTCACTCCTGGAAATCCAGGAAGTCCTGGGTCCCCCTGCAAAAAAAGTAAAAAGAAAGAAAGAAAAAAAAAACAATTTTATACAACTTCTGTGTCGTCGTTGTTTTTCTCTATTATGACCTTTTATACAAATGAACAGTTCTTCTAATATTTTTCTTCAATATAAATATTTATAACAAATAGTTAATTTGTATAAAAGACATGGTTCTTTTGCTCCTCCAACCTAATTCAACCTAATTTATCCAACTTAATTCAGGTGAGAGGATTGAATTTACGTATATATCTATTTGCTTGTAGCTTTTCTAGTATTTCCAATTTTATATTTATTAGTTTTTAAGTGAGCTCTAGCATTTTCTTTTTTTTATTTAAAAACTGCTGGCATCAACTTTATTAAGAAATGGAGGCAAATTATATACAGCCAAAACTGTGAGTCTCGTTCTCTTTCTTCCTTTTTTTCGTGGGCCACACATTTAGGGAACAAATGAGAAACAAAGGGTATATAGGAATCGAATTCCCCTGCATCTTTTCATAAGCATACGCATGCTACTGTAAACGTATGTGAAACCACCTTTCGCTACCCATTTTCACCCTCTATTTTGTTCAATAAATCAGAATATTGAAATCGGTACGAACTTGGGCATAAATATTGCAGACAAGTTTTGGAATAAGGTTGACGGGATGAAATTGTTCGTTATGTTGAACTGACTTCGAATCCTTCGAATTTGAATGAGTGAAATTCTGTCTCGGAGAAGTCAAATATCTACCTTGAATTATGTGCGTAACCAAACTGTCTAATAGAGTTCCTGGGCACCGAAAAGAGGGAAAGGCTATAGGAGTTTTGTTCCGGCATTTTCTTTTTATGGAGTACTTTATTTAAGTCGCACTAGAACCTTCACCTCCTACATCAAGAAGCCTCCACACGGTCTTTTATAAGTAGTCCGCGCAGACTGTTTAAAAAGTGAACCTGTTGTGCATACCTGCCAACTTACATTCTTTCCGAGAATGGATTTTCAGAGTGGTTGTAAAACAATGAACGAAAAGCAATCTGATTCAAAAATATATTTATATTTTAATCCCGTTGAAATTAGCTTGCACAAGGATTATTATGCTTTGATATATTTATTATAATTATTTATACGTAGTGGTGGTCAAACTCATTTATAATTATCATTATAATTCAAAAAGTTAATTGGAATAACCTGAGTATTGCTACCACTTTAAATATGAAAATAAAATCATCCGGAAGAATTGGCAGGAATGTGTTGAGCGCTATCATACAACTCTACTCAAGGGGATCTCCCCATTCCAAAGATGATTTTCCCTTCAAAACTAAAGATTTACTTCTTTAAGGACTTGACTTGTTACAACATACTACAACTTCAAAGATATATAGGACCTCCCAGAATACAACAAAACAGAATCGATGAATCGGTTAGTGGCGCTTCGCGCCAAACGCCGAGATAACCCCAATATCCAGCATCCAATGTGTTGAGCGCATGAGCCCAAAACCTCTTATAAAAATAATTTAGAGAAGTGTATATTATATATTTGAGAATTGAATCTGTAGTGATTGACAAGTGAATAAGGCAATCCAATAATATTCATAAATAAAATTAATTTTTAGTCATATATGTGCTACCACTTTCTTATTTTAAATATATTTTGTATTAAATGACTCATTCAGTAAGTGGATATCCTAAAGTTGTTCAGTTCCAGAAGAGGGTGGGCGGAGCCTATGGGCTCCTCCCCCTCTTTCTAGTTATCCTGCCGAAGCTAGCCAACCACGACAAAGTCTACTTTACGGACAAAATCAAGCAGAACCCGGTTAGCGTCGAGAAATTCCATGGCGGCCGCCGGCCGCTACAATGTTTCCGGTGCCAAGGATATGGACATCTCAGCGAACGTGCACAGAGAAGCAAAGATGTATGAAATGTGCCGGAAGGCACTTTTCGTTTCAGTGTACGAAGAGCAGAGAAACACCAGCAACCTGCTGCAATTGCGGAAAGAATCACACATCGAACTTCTCTGGGTGCGAGGCCCGCCCCAGCAGAAAGAAAACAAATGACCGAACTCCTGCAACATCAGCCCACCGCTTAGTGTCACGAATGAAAGAACTGCAAGAGCTCATGAAAGATCAAGATGTGCTAAACCTGCTACAAACTCTAGTAAAGGGGTCTTCCCCTTCCCAGTGATGCTCCATCCTTTCAACTTAAGTTTTACTCCAACAAAGATGTTATCTGAACTTTCTAGTTTAACTTATGGACTAACTTGTTTATGGACTTAACTAGTTTAACTTATGGACTCTCTAGCTTATGTCACTACATTTTAGATGAATCGGTAAGTGGCGCTTCGCGCCAAAAGCCGAGATATACCACATTCATAGCTCAAGTGGATATCCTTCATAGTGGTCTGATCGGACTGCACGATTCCAAATCCCAATGGTCCTCAGCCTATTGCCAGGGAATATTTGATTTTTCCCCTCATTCTCGGGAAAACGATTTACGCAATGACGTCAAAAACAAAATTGGTTTATGCGCATGTGCCCCTTCTGAAAAATCTAACAATGCTGCTGATATGAATTGAAATATGCCGGTGGTTGATGAAATTACAGTGCGATTTTTATGAAACCCAACAAAAAAGTATTATCAGCTAATTTCGTTAGTCGAAGTATCATCACATTATTTTAATAAAGAGTGTGATGTCTAGGTAAGTTTTATTTTCTTAAGAGTACCAATAGTTTCTTTTATCGCTCCCCCAACTATGAAGTTATAACTCTTCTATTTTTGTATGTTTTTCTTTTAAAAACCTAACCCAGAAACGTGTTTTCCTTTGAAACATGTTATTTATTTTGTGCTGAAAGAATTTAAGTTCAATATGTAAATAAAAAGATATGATTATGAATGGTGAATTATTAAACATTATAAAATATGTATTTTCCTAGAAGTTATAATTTTGGTTCCAAAACGAACATTATATTGTTTTATAAAATTTTTTATTTATATTATTTTATAAAGTTTTATTGAATTTGAATTATGTTTTTAAGTATCCTTCCATTAACAGTCATACGCATAATTCATGTCATTATGCAGCTCTAGTGCGACGTAAATAAAGTACCTATTTTTGTAATTTCTTGACAAAATATTGAATGTGACTTTCCAACTTTTCTTCTATTCTGTTAATGATATAAATAATTTAATCTTTTTAATAACTTTTATTAATAAATATCTTAATTGAAAAAAAGTTATAGGGGAAGTTAGTAAATAAACAAAACATTTATAATGATGTAACATCTTATAACATGCACATCTTAATTTTTAAACACCCTTCATTTTTACAATGAATAGGAATTGATAATTTTAAATTTGTTTCAAAGGATAATTGTTGAAAAAAAACAAAGAATCTCCAGAACATAGATTATTTACTTTAATATTTTCTTTTGTTGGTACAAAATATTTCACATTTAAGATATAATGTAATAATGATTAAATAATTAGTTAACATGTATTTTAGTTTTTAAAATATCATTATTAACACTAGGTTTTAAATCAATCCATTTCAATGGCATACAGAGGTGCAGGGATACCAGGGACAGATTTCATGAACGAAATCATTTTAATTCTAATTCCTGAAAGAATTATGGTACTTT